AGAGAATGATCACATCAGAAAGTAAAGCTGATGACCCGGGCGGGGAGGGCGAGGGCGCCCCAGAGGAAGACTCCGGGTCCAATCTCAGAGAGGGAACCGCGTCTCAGGAAGGATGAGCTGTCGAAGGACCCTGAGGAGGTGTGTTGCCATAGTGACCAGTGTGGGCTGTTCTTTTTCTGGCTCCCGCTGCAGCATGCGGGCCACATATTGGGATCTGGTTGCCACGACAACCCAAACACCCCAGTCGGCCACATTGCAGAAAAGGAGAAAGACGGAGAGCAGAGGAACAGAGAGTGGGATGAGGATGGTTTGAAGAACGGGGACGTAAGTTTGGTTCGATTGTGGCGTGGAAGCTGCGGCGCGCTTTTAGTTCTTTCATTCTTTTAAAGCACACACAGCCACGTACAGCACGGGCGTCACACTTGTCACCAGTGTACAAATACAGGCCATTTACCAAATAAATTTTAATTACATAACTGGTGCTTATAGATGACCTGCAGTGGTGTGTCTTAAAAAGGTTTGTGGGTTTGTTTTCATCACTTGGCTCTGATGATGTCAGAGAGCATAGATATTCTTAATATGGTCATCCACACCCCGTTCTGGCTCCACCTACCCCTCTGTTCTTATCTTTTAATCTTAAGGAGGATGGTTTGAAAAGAATGAGGAACACGAACCAACGGATTTCTCCAAAGCTCCTCTGACTCCAAGTAAACAGATATCTTTCTGGAAATGAGCACAGCACATCCCACTTTGAGCTCCCTGTGAGGAAGAGGAGGGGGAGGCCAGTTTGGGGTATTCAGTGCTACAAATCAGCTGACCCAGGTGTTTGTGTGCCTCTTTTTGAAGGAGGTGCCTCTGAATGTGACAGAGATGCAGTAAAGCATGAGCCCAGGAGGTGGGCGGGGCTTCTGCGCAGTCCACTCTCGGTGATGTCATACAGACCCAAGAACAGAAAAACCTGCAAGAAATTAAAGTATTTTATATGTATATATATATATATATATATATATATAAAAATAATATACACAGGCATTATTTGTGTGACCTCACTGATTGTTTAATATGAGCATTCGCCATGGAAACGGTAAAAAAAGGATAATGGACTCTTTAATAAACCACATGCTGCTGTATTGTCTCCTGTTAAATGGGCACTGTTTGGGGAGTTGATATATAAAGTTGGTATGAATAAGTAAACCGAAGGCTTTTGTTTGTTTGCTGCGTGTAACATGTGTGATGTGTAAACGTAGCCTCCAAACGGCGAGCTTTCATGCCGGATCAGCTGTCTGTTTCCCCGATCGCTTCCCCGCGTGCGGTCCACGCAGCGTGACCTTTAAAGTATACGGCTATAAGAGGAGCCAATTAGCATTCTCCTCTGCCTGTGATTGTTGCTATGGAGATAGATGTGTTACCATGGCGATACGGCGAGGCAGTATTAAAGAGGAACACAGCGGCTCTGATTCGCACAAGAAACGGCGGTCAGTGCTTGGTTTCTTCTGCAGGGTGTGTGTTTGTGTGTCACGGTGATCCCGTGGGGTTTAAATCCTACCAACTTCGATTTTTTGATCATGGTTGGACCTTTTTTTTTGTATTTTTCTTCTCCCTGATGAATCGACAAAAGAGAGAAGATCTCTTGTATTTATTCAGTGTCTAATAGAGACACGAAAAAATGTTTTCATAAGATGTGATTTACCAAATGTGTCCAGCAGAGTAAAAAGAATTAAACTGCTGTTACTTATTCGCTCTACCTGTTTCATAACATAATTACACAAACAGGGTTCTGTGTTGTGTATCCCCAGGATGCAGAGCTCAGTGAAACATGCTTTGCGGTCTCCCACATAAAATACAATTCCTTGTTTTGGCGTGAGTGTGGTTGACATTTGAAAGTGAGGAATTGTGAGCTTTAGGTCTTCACTGAGGTTAGTGTGAATACCCTCAGTTGGTCTTTAGTGCCCTCCATCATGAAGAAGAAGTCTTTGTGTAAAAGATTACATAAAAACATAAAGGAGCATTTGTAGTCGGGCTAGTATTGGCTGGCTGTTGATGTATTGGTGTAAAGACGTTGCAGAAAAATGAGCCCCGGGGTAATCAGACGACGGTATCATCAGTGTTTGTTCAGCAGAGCAGATCTGATGTCGTCTGTAACGCTCGCGGTCTGCAGCACATGCAGCAGAGCAGCGTCACTGCTGCGGAGTCGAGCCGTGTCTAGCTTTCCCTTTTAAACATGTTGTATTTACACCGTTGCTCCAGCCAGCCGGAGAATCCTGGATGCAGGACTTTGGGAGTGTCCAGTGGCGGGAGGGTAGCGTCGGGTCCTGTAGGTCGAAAGGCTGAAGCTCTGTGGATCAGACTGACGTTACACCGAGGGCTGAGGTTGCAGAGCGGGCCTTTAATTGGGCGGTACCGGACAAATTATTATCCACGTGAATGCTAGACGGCAGGATTCTCACTGCCTGTCAGGAATTCTGATCCCATTACTCATCAGCGTGTGCACATCTCAAACATCTTTACTGTATCTGCATCTCCAGAATCCAGCACTGCTCGTCCACTGATGATCGTTATTTTCTGTGTGTGTGTGTGTGTTCGTTCAGAGCGAGCAAAAGAGGGAAATCACTCAGATTCAGTACGTGGCTTGGCCCGACCACGGCGTTCCCGACGACTCCACTGATTTCCTGGACTTTGTGGCTCTCGTACGGACCAAACGGGCTGGACAGGACCAGCCAATGGTGGTGCACTGCAGGTACGGCCATTCTGTGTGAACCATGTGACCATGGCGAGCCAAAGATTACAGGATAAAAGTTAACCTGTCTGAGCTGGAATCGGATTTTGGCTGTTAGACGATGGATGTAGTGAACCGAGTGACCTTCCAAACAGGTTTACTTCCAAGAAAAGTTCCAGAAAGTGATTTCTCTCCTTTCCCAGGTCTCAAATGTTTGAACACCTCTCACCTGCCCCTCATTACTTCCTTCAGGGCAATTTGTTATACCTTAAGTCCCGTCTCCTTCACAGCGTGGTGGGCAGTACCGTGACAATATAGCGCACAAATGATATCCATAAAGTCTCAGAATTGTTGGAATTTAGCTTATTTGCTCCTTACAGAGATTTTTGTTACTTCATTAAATAATTATTGTGTATTATTAACAATCAAATGATCTTTCTTGATTTTTTTCCAGCGCTGGGATTGGTCGGACGGGCGTTCTGATCACCATGGAGACGGCGCTGTGTCTGATGGAGTGCGGTCAGCCGGTGTATCCTCTAGAAATTGTCAAGACCATGAGAGATCAGCGGGCCATGATGATACAGACACCTGTGTGTACACAGCACCGTCCGTTTGCTCTCCGTCGCTGTAAACTTTAAAAGCTTAAACTCTGCATCCGCTTTTCTTTTCAGAGCCAGTACCGTTTTGTGTGCGAGGCCATCCTCAAGGTCTACGAGGAAGACCTGTTCAAGCCGCTGAAGACGGCCCTCTACCAGCAGAGAGAGAAGGCGGCCGACGAGAAGGAGGAGGAGCGGAAAGAGCAGCAGAAAGCGGGAGAGGAGCGAGACGAGGCGACCGCGGCGACGGCAGAGAAAGGGGAGGCGGCCAAGGTGGAGATGCTGGAAGAAGAGCTGGAGGGAGAGGATGACGACGAAGTCGAGGTGCTGGATGTGGGAGAAGTGACAGAAGAGGGGGAGGAAGAGGAAGAAGAGGAGGAGGAGGAAGTGGAGGAGCCGAGCGTCGCCAGTGCCACCAGCGTGACGAGCGAGACCAGCGCGAACCCCGATCCCGCTAACCCGTGACGTGGGTGGGCGGGGCTCACCGGGAGGAGGCTGGACGAGAGAACAAAAGCACTGTTGCACTTTAAGCTGACAAAAAATTAAACGAACAGACAAACTGACATGAAAACCTTTGGACGTGATGAGTTAAAAAAACCCAGCTGTGTCGAACAGGTACCTTTAGGGGGAGTTGATGTTCAGGGTAACGAAAAAAAGAATCAAAGAATGAATGAGATGATAAAACGTGGATGGGGAGTTGCTGTAGTGCCATAAGTACGAAGGGGAAGGGCCGCCACTGTGGATGGAAAGCCTCCCCTCCGCTCTCTCTCTTATTATTTTAGTTTTTTAAATCCCAAAGGGTCGCCCTGTCCCCTTCGGAGTGAGTCTGCCAGACGGACCTGCCTTTTTTTTTTTTTTTTTTTTTTGTGTCCTTTTAGCAGATAAAGAGAAAAACCTTATCTTTTGTTCCTCAGAGTATTTATTGTGTTTTAGTTTGTGTCAAACCCTGTCCACTGAACAAAAAAACGCTGTATGTTTTGTTTGTACAAGTCTAGAGCTTCATGCTTTCCTGATTAAATCTTAGGTAGTAAAGTAGTGTGATTCCTCTTCTTCGAACTACTTCTTTATTTCTTTTGATTTTTATGGTTTGGGGGGGGCAAAAACAACAACAGTGATTTAATTTATTGTACTTGCTTTGATCTTTCTCGTCTCGCCTCTCGCTCGGCGCTGGGGGGAGTTTGGTACTCGATCCTTCTGTGAGCGGTGTGTTTGAGCCCACAGTCGCACGAGTGGACGTCGTTTGGTGGGGTTTTTGATCCTCGTGACCACAGCTCCCGTCCGCTTTCGCTCACTTTCACGCTCCTGCATCGATTCGCTTCTCACTAAAAGCCCCGGTGTCCTCGAGCCGGACAGCATCCCTCCGACCAGAGGGGCGCACTGTGGATTAGGATTAATGTGGAGCCTGAAGTCTTCATCGTGACGAAGATGGTTTCTTTTAACCGAGCTGGATCCCGCCGGGCGGTACCTTCTGCTGGACCCGTGTTTTGGCTTAAAATCATCAGGGAGCGCCACATTTTCCTCACTGTCTACCTGAAAACACCATTCATGTTTTATATATGCAACCTGCAGAGCCCAGTTACAGATGTGAAGCTACAGCAACATAAACTCTGCTGCGATGAATTTGAATGTGTTCATTTGGTGATTAAGGTTTTTTAAATTACACTGCAGGAAGTGAAGACGATTAGAAAATTCTTCAGTAATGTTCGATTGGCCATGAAACTAAAGCGATTCCCACGTCTCCTGCAGTAACCTCTCGTGTTTCACACCTCTAATCTCTGGCCACATCAAATTCTTAATCAAATATAGTAATTTGAGTTAATTGGTCCATTTCATTTTTGCAAAAGAAGAGTCAGACTATAGGTCTGTACGCTTTATGTGAGCCTGAAGCAGAGATCTTCAGGTCTTCTTTATGCAACTCCGATAGTTCTTGCTTTCTTTGCACAGGTCTTTAATGTTTAAAGGAACAGGTAGAGGGTCACATCTGTGGGTGAAAGCTGCTACAAGTTTTATGCAATCAGTATTTTTTTTTCACCCCCCTCCCCCCACAGCGTTTGCACAATAGTAGCAAACTTGAATCGCTCCCTCCATCGATCTCCCCGCGTTTAGTCTTTTGTTTTATCAGCCCAGACCAGAGCAAACCCGGGTACATGCTCACAGTCCAGGTGGAAGTGTGGTTACTCTGAGCAGTCACGTGATTCAGCGTTAACCTGAGAAAAACTCGCTTTGAGCTGTGAGAGGTCTGAAAGCAGCCTGTGCGTGAGAGTTGTCACAGAAGCAGCAGAAACACAACATTCAGCCGATATTTCCCTTTTTGTTTGTTCTCTTTTCCCTAAACGGTACCTCATCTTTGTAAGACATGTTTAGATTATAGGTGAGACTAAACAATTTTTTGTATTTTCATTTCACAGAACCCAGGTAGTTTTATTTGTAAAAACCGGTGATGCTGCTGCGCTCGAGTGTGGTGATGATTTTCATCTCGGCTCTCGCAGCGGATTCTGCTGGAAACAAATACCGCTGTGTGTGTGTGTGTGTGCATGTGTGTGAGTGAGAGAGAGAAAAATACGACTGTGTTTTCGGTTTTCGTCCTCCGTTACCTCTCCCTCTCTGTTCCATCTCTAACATGTACTCTGGCAGCTTTTTGCTCTCAGCCTGCTTGTCTGTAAACTGGAATGAAAGGTTGAGCCATGAAGCCGCAGACCTGTTCGAACCTGATCTCAAGTTTCTGGAAAAAACAAGACAAAAGAAACAAAATAAGAAATAGAAACAGAGCCTTCCTGAAGTGTGGTTTAAAAAAGAAACTGGTTGAATCTTCGCCTGTGAAACAATTCATTTTGTGCTCATGCCTCCTTTTCAAACAGCTGAATCATCCTTGGCCACATGTAGAGGTGGGATTAAGAAGAGCCTGGAAACTGCTTTCCTCTTCACTCTTTTCTTTTTTCCCTCCTCCTCCTTAATCTCTCCTGTGTTGCATCCCTCTCCCAAAATTGGCCTAACACACTCCAGTCATTTCTGCAGAGCCCACGCAACATCCACAGTTCGCTCTCCTCATTGTTTTTCCCCAGCTGCCTCTCTTTTTGGATCATTATACATGGATCCCACTCTCTGCACGGCCTCGAGGCGAGTGACACATCCGTGCAGAATACCGTGGGTACAGTATCAAACAGCCTGTTTTCCACAGAAGGACAAACTGAGGCTAGTCATGGGAGGGCCGGCGATTTGTTTTAAACTTTTGCTTTTATTAACAAACGCGCTGCAGGCCCACATCCGTGAGTCGGCACTCTGGAAGAAGTCAAGCTTTTGTTTTTGGCAGCAGAATTAAAAGTGCCACCAAAAAAAAATACAAAAAACTTGTCATGAGACGAGAAAACGTGCGGTGAGAGGTCGATGACGGAGGATTCGAGCCGTCTGTGTTCGACGTGTTTTTGTTGACACGTATTCGGTACTGTCTGTGTATCCAAGGTTACTGAGCGGAAGTAGTGTGGAGGGGCGCGGGGAGGGCTCGGGGTGTATTTTTGTAAAGATAACGAAGAAGAGACAGCACTTTGTAGAAGGCTGATTGGCAGGTAGTCCTACTGAGAGAGAAAAAGATGAGGCATAAAGCATTGTTCAGATCTTCTTCTTTTTAATTTATCTTTTTTTTTTTAAAATTTTGTTTGAAAATAAGACACCTGTAGGGATCAAGAATAAAAAAAGAACTCCTAACTACACAGTGCCACTTGCTAATTTTGTGTAAATAGTACTAGAACATGTAAATATAATGTTGTATATGAAAAAAAAACTTTAAAATAAAAGGGAAAATCATTTGTGAGCAGAAAGATTTTGTTTCCATTTTTATTTTTTTCTCTCCTTTGGATGATTCAAATGTGACACAAATGGTGTGTATTTCAGCAATGCTCTTTCTTTCTCATTTTATTTGAAAGGTAATCTATAACAGCGAGTGTTATATATAATGAACCACAACGTCATGAGAAATGTTTTACCGTATTATACCCTTGGTTAACTTCTACCTGTGTCATAAAATCCTTTGTCCTCAGTTGCTTGTTCCTCTCTGGTATCTTGGTTTTTACAGTGCTTTGGACATGTCTATAAGCTTGATTATGAACAATTAAAGCTTGTCTGTCAAAGCATGGAGACGTGGCTTCAGATCACCTTGCTTTTCCACACTGTAAAAGTGAGGTTGGGCAACGTTAGAGAGAGCGGAGGCTGAAGATCTCGACTAGAATTATTTGGTGCTGTTTTAAGCGTAGAGTGAAGCCATCAGTCACACAAGGGAGACACAGTGCTGATGCTGTTAGTTGTAGCTGGAGAAAATTATGTTGGACCCCAAATGCACACAGTGTTAATATAGATAGACTTTCTGGGGTATACCACCTGCCTCCATCTCCTCCTATCCCAGCATCCTCCTCTGTCACACCAACCCTCTGCATGTCCTCTTTCACTACATCCACAAATCTTCTCTGAGGTCTTTCTCTCTTCCTCCTGCCTGGCAACTCCATCTTCATCATCCTTTGTCCAACATATCCACTGTCCCTCCTCTGCACGTGCCCTGACCATCTGTACTCATTTCTTATCCAATAGAAGATCTTAGCATCTTCATCTTTGCCTCCTCGCCTGCATCACTGCCGATCTCGCTGCTTTCTCTTTCACTCTCGCTGCCACCAATCCACTTCTGTCAGTCACAGTTTTCTGGGGTATAAAAATCTGTTTGGGTTCCAGATGCAAACATGTGGTCAGTGTGCTGCATTAGGATGCAGTGCAGCAGTGCATGTGCACAATTTCAAAGGCACACATGGTGCATATGCATGTAGTTTAGTGATATTCACCCATTTTTAACGTGCAGGGGGATCAGATTTGAGGGGAAAAGCTTTAAAGCTGTAAAACTTTGAACATTAATGTGCAAAAATCTGAAGACAGCTGAATCCTTTCAGATCTTAATCACAATAATATAGAAATGAATCAGGATAAGGCATTGTTTTAGCATTTTAAAGGCCTTTTAACAGAAGTCTGCCTGTGTACCTGGCCACAAAACCTCAAAGATGGGCTAAATTTAAAGGCACAGCTGTATTCATATGTGCAGGAAACAAAACTTTCATTTCAAATGAAGCTGGATCAGTTTCTCAGAGGAGATGTTTGATTTCCAAGTGCCTCTTTAGGTCTAGGGGCCAAGAAAGTTAAACTTATTTAGTTTCACAGTAATTTCTCGTGATATTTTTCTTTTTCTTAAAAAGGTCATTTTCCGTTTTTCTACACCATTCATTTCTTTCTGTCTAGATATAGTAATAATGTTGGGGCACACCAATTCCCTTAAATAAACTAGCAGTTCCTACAGCAACCAGTAGGGGGTGCTGCTGTTAAACAGTGGCCATACTTTATAATTCGAGTTCAGAGAAATTAAATGAGTGGTTAAATCCTTAAGCGCTGCAGCTTTCCAAAAGCATGCAAGCTGTTTCCAGTTACATGTTTACACACATTTGATTTTACGTGTACCAGCTCAGCAGCCCCTTTTTCTTCTCTCGTAAATAAATGAAGTAGAAACTGAAATAAAGTAAATATAAATTGCAAAGAAAATGACCGCTTAATTACTTTTGTTTGTTTGTTCCAAGTGAGTAAAAAAGTTTAAAAAAGAAAAGGTGTGTCGCTTTAAAAATGCTAATCAAGTCCCTTTCTTCGGGATTTGTCGTGACGTCACTTCCTGAGGAGCGCTTGCCTCCTACTTTTTGTTGGGACCTGGGAGAGAAAATTATCCCGCAGAGGCACCGAGGCGGAATAAAACAAGGAAAAGGAAGAAAAGAAAACCCGAAGTCACAAAGTGCGGAAATGTCCGAGGCTTCTGTTTAGCCGACTACGATGCAGGCGGGCGTCCTTTCACCGTGAATTCCCGCGAGGAGGTTTTTGTAAGTAGCCCATCATTCAGACGTCCTCGGATCCACAAGTGTCTGCTGGAGCAAGTGTACGTCGGCTCTGGGCGCTAAACGCGGCGTTCGTTTTGGTGTGCGGGGCGCGCCTGCCCGGTCGGAGTCGTACTTCTTAAGCGCGTTCGTGGCTAATGGTTAGCCCGCGCGGTATAACGAACGCACACCTGTTGCTTTTGCTTACACCAGGTACTTGGGGCCTTAACTGGGTAAGGTTACCGATAAAGCTAGGGCTAATTTGATTAATTAATGTTGATCCAGTGGATTTTTAAAATTATTTTAGGTCTGTTTCGGACTTTTTTAGGAACTTTGGTTTACCGGGTGACCTGAAGTCACAGGAAAAAATAAAATATATTAAAAATACGCACAGTTAAGGTCGATTACCGTTAGCAGCTGTTTCAGACTAAGTTAAAACGTAAACTCTAACTTTGTTTTGTCGTGTTTAACGTTACTTTGCCTTCTTGATGTCAAATAACATCGCACATATTTATTTTCTAGATTTATTGTTATATATTAAAAAAAGCCTTCTTATCGATGAAATCTTCCCATCAGTCTTTATAATCTATTTGGGGATTCTGTTAGATGGAAATCTGTTTGATACCAGGTACATGGTTACCTGCCGTTAGTAATTACAGCCCCACCTTATCAGTTCTGTTTTCTTGACTAAATGAGCAGCATAACTTCATACAAAGTGACATAAGCTGTATTTGAATATCAGATTTTTGACAGCTTAGCATAAAATGTGTCACCTGTGCAGCTGTACACCCTAACCAGAGGACACACCTGTGTTCCTGTGGTGTAAAACTGTGACATCCATCCATGATCTGCTGTTTTTCCCAGCCTAGATCACAGATGTGTGCCAGCTGTCTAAGCAGAGCTCTCCAGACATGTTATCCAGCCCTCCTGGGATGGCATTTAGTATTTCCTAGTTCAGTGGAGCACTTTACGTGGGTCAGTCACAGGGTTTCCCCCCAGTTAGCTAAAAACCACTCAGGAGGCATCCTAGTCAGATGTCTGAAACACCTCAGCTGACTCCTTTCAGGTTGGAAGAGCAGTCATTCTACTTTGAGCTCCTCCCAACCCTGAAGTGACAGAGTTCCTCACCCGATCTCTAAGGGAGAGCCCGAGCACTGTTCAGAGGAAGCTGATTTCCACTGATTCTACCCGCCATCTCATTCTTTCAACAACTACTGGAAGTTGTGGCCATGGGGTGAGGTGTAGGAATGTAGGTTGAGAGTGGGCACTCCACCGTGGTTAGGCTGACGGCCATGACTCGACTACAGACCAACTGCATACAAAACTAATACATTTTTACCTTAATTATTAAAAAGAAAATCTATACACTCTTTGATTTCAGGTGCGTACAGGTGCCCTTCCTCTCCCCCAGTCATGTTAAGTTTCCTGCGCAGGACGCTGGGGCGACGCTCCATCCGGAAACATGCAGAGAAAGCCCGGCTACGAGAAGCCCAGCGGGCCACAACGCACATCCCTGCAGCTGGGGATGCAACGTCTATCATCACCTGCCGTGTGTCTCTGCTGGATGGGACAGATGTCAGTGTTGACTTACCGGTAAGGAGAAAGATACTTCCCATTGTGCCAGGAAAAGTCTGTCAGCTCCACATCGCACTCTCTTTTATAATTATGATACTCATTAGAGCCTTTACGTCTTAGAGAATTTGAAACTTTGAAACTATCAGAAACTGGTGGATGTTAAGTTTTGGGAACATATGCAGGCTTTCTCTGGGCTCCAGACCGGCTCCCGGAGAGTCCTGATTTGTTCATGCAGGTTCCTGTTATTTCTGGCCTTTTTGATCAATAAAAATATGGTTTAAAAAACAAAAAAATTATGCACCAATACAAATCCTTACAAAGTAATTAACAACTTAACTGTTTAGATACAGGAAAACTTGCTGCTCTGCTACATGTGCTGCATACAATGCTGAGTATATTATAAAACAGACTGAGAGCTACTCTGCTGGACAAACTATAATATAACACCATTCCTAAATTACTAAAAGTATGTTTTTCTGCATTATTCTTCAGGGATGAGGAAAACTGGCAGCTTACAAGAGAAAATAGACAAATTTCCTGGGGGAAAAAGAGCAAATTTACCAAAAAAAGAACTCTGAAAACAAGTGGTATTATTATTATTTTTAATTAAGTCAAGTAATATTACATTTTTGATATTGAGTCGTATAGAAATTCATAAAACTTTGATCTTCTTGGATTATTGACTCATAAGAAATATTTGAAACAATGTAATAAAAGCAACCAACGCTTTTTACAGATATCACATTAAGTGACAGAACAAAATAAAACTGTCCTGAACTAACAACACTGGTCACTATGTTGTTGTACACTGTTGAAGATGACAAGTGTGCCGTCTGTGATAGGACAGATATTTAGGTTGATATCAGCGCTCTAAAAATGTACTTTGCAAGGCTGAATAGCACATTACAAAAATAAAAAATGACCCATTAACCAGCGCGCATGTGAGAGAGTCTTGTTATTGGACGCGTCCTTATCCTTGCTCATCCTTGAAATCGACACCTTGTTAATAATAGCACAAACGCTCAGAGTGAATCACTCTTTGTGACTAATTGCCTTCAGATAGGCTCTTGACATAAACAGTGTTCTTCTGTGGTTATGAGCTGGAAAGTGAAAGCAGTGTACCAGTGACCACAGTGTGCCTGTGTCAGTGGAGCAGTCCTGTTAATCCTATGAAGCGTGTGCTCTCGTGCTCCTGATCACCTGTAATTCCATGATCCTCTCTGGAGAACACGCTTGGTCACATGACATGCTGGTCACCACTCCAGAACTCACTCCACCCGTCTCCTGCTCCTCTTTTTTCTCTTTATTCGTTTCACTTTATTGCCTCATAGACGAGCGCCTTGCTGCACAGTGACAGTGATTACACTTCTAGGACAGTTTCCCCCTCGTGTGATTATTATTTTTCTGTCGCTTCATGTTCTTCCTCCCGTGAGCCAAAACTCCAGTGAAGCCAGAAGCTTATCTTGAAATCTGTCTTGTATAAATTCCAAGGAAAATGTGCTCGGGAGAAATCCTCCTCACTGTTACTGCCTGATTTCACTCTCCCCGTTGTAGATGTTGTAGCTCAAACTGCCTGCTACCAGCAGCAGTGCCAGACCTCATTACAGGAATTTCTCATTTGCGAGCAGGAATGTGTTTTACTCAGCATATCTCACAGGTGATGTCACACATCTGAGCCCGTCCTCAGCCTGACCTGCCAAATCCTTAACGTGTAATCCCTCCTACCAGCTCAGTATTGTGCACATGAAGAGAGAGAGCCATTGTTTTCTTACTCAGTCCCTTAGAGGAATGTTATCTGCTTGGACGCGCTCTCTTGGCCTCTTGTTTCTGCTTGGGAATTGATGATTACAGGAATGTTACTACTCCAGCCTGTGCTTGCATTCATACATCTAGAAACTCAGACGTTTGGTGTGTGTGTGTGAAAAGCTTCTACAAATGCATTCCAGCAGGACCTTTTTCTTTATGTTGGGACTCTTTGCTTTTCGCCTCCCCAAGATATGCTTGTATTTAGCTTCTGCAAACACTCCCATCTTATCTTAGCGCACTCTCAATGATTGGGCAGCAGCAGACACACACTTGTTAACAGCCTTACTCAGTACTCTCCTCACTCATTTAACTTCAGTTAGCAGTTACGATAATGTCCCCAGTTAGCTGAAATAGTTGTTTTTCAAAACAAGCAGCTCAATCTTGGTCGACTGTCAAACTTTTCTCCAGAAGGTGTTTGACTCGTCCTGTGTTCTTCTTGAACATCCTAATCCCTTTCCTGTCATCTGAGGGTGATTGTTTGGGTCTTCCTCCAGACTTTGTGGTCACACATCCAAATAAACTTGAACTTAAGTACAGTTGTTTGAATTGATGATCGTGGAATCTGCAGTTGTTTAGAAATGGCTTCAAGGGATCTTCCCAATGTGTAAATGCACAATTCTCATCCTTAGATTTTAGGCTA